CTGTGGTGCAGTGGGTTAAAGGCGTACCAGTTATGCCAGTTGCTGTAAGGCTCCTGTACTGGCTAGGGTTCGAATCTCCTGGTGGGAAAGTGTTTTAAGGTTGTATAACTTCTCTTGCGAGTTTAGGTAAGTTGTGCATATTATATTATATATATATATATATATATATATATTTATATATATATATATTTATATATATATATATATTTATATATATATATATTTATATATATATATTTATATATATGCGAACAAGCCTGAATGGTCCCCAGGACATATGCAACTGAAAACTCACACCCCAGAAGTGACTCGAACCCATACTCCCAGAAGCAACGCATCTGGTATGTACAAGACGCCTTAATCCACTTGACCATCACGACCGGACATAATGAGGTGATAGCCGAGGCTATATGAACCACCCCACCGCCGGCACTCGGATAGTTATCTTGGGCATAGCATTTTACCAAATCACCTCATTCTTTGGGGCACACGTGAGGAACACAAATGCGAACAAGCCTGAATGGTCCCCAGGACATATGCAACTGAAAACTCACACCCCAGAAGTGACTCGAACCCATACTCCCAGAAGCAACGCATCTGGTATGTACAAGACGCCTTAATCCACTTGACCATCACGACCGGACATCAAGTGGATTAAGGCGTCTTGTACATACCAGATGCGTTGCTTCTGGGAGTATGGGTTCGAGTCACTTCTGGGGTGTGAGTTTTCAGTTGCATATGTCCTGGGGACCATTCAGGCTTGTTCGCATTTGTGTTCCTCACGTGTGCCCCAAAGAATGAGGTGATTTGGTAAAATGCTATGCCCAAGATAACTATCCGAGTGCCGGCGGTGGGGTGGTTCATATAGCCTCGGCTATCACCTCATTATGTCCGGTCGTGATGGTCAAGTGGATTAAGGCGTCTTGTACATACCAGATGCGTTGCTTCTGGGAGTATGGGTTCGAGTCACTTCTGGGGTGTGAGTTTTCAGTTGCATATGTCCTGGGGACCATTCAGGCTTGTTCGCATTTGTGTTCCTCACGTGTGCCCCAAAGAATGAGGTGATTTGGTAAAATGCTATGCCCAAGATAACTATCCGAGTGCCGGCGGTGGGGTGGTTCATATAGCCTCGGCTATCACCTCATTATGTCCGGTCGTGATGGTCAAGTGGATTAAGGCGTCTTGTACATACCAGATGCGTTGCTTCTGGGAGTATGGGTTCGAGTCACTTCTGGGGTGTGAGTTTTCAGTTATTTATATATATATATATATATATATTTATATATATATATTTATATATATATATATTTATATTTATATATATTTATATATATATATATATATATATATATATATATATATATATATATATATATATATATATATATATATTTATGTCGTACCTAGTAGCCAGAACGCACTTATCAGTCTACTATGCAAGGCCTGATTTGCCTAATAAGCCAAGTTTTCCTGAATTAATATATTTTCTTTAATTTTTTTCTTATAAAAGGATAAAGCTACCCATTTCATTATGTATGAGGTCAACTTTTTTTTATTGGAGTTAAAATTAACGTAGATATATGACCGAACCTAACCAACCCTACCTAACCTAACCTAACCTATCTTTATAGGTTAGGTTAGGTTATGTAGCCGAAAAAGGTAGGTTAGGTTAGGTAGGTTAGGTTGTCGAAAAACAATTAATTCATGAAAACTTGGCTTATTAGGCAAATCGGGCCTTGCATAGTAGGCTGATAAGTGCATTCTGGCTACTAGGTACGACATTATATATATATATATATATATATATATATATATATATATATATATATATATATATATATATATATTATTAAATATGACCGAAAATGTAAGATTAATAATTCTAACGCGAATTTTCTCAATATTTCTTATGTTTCTTTTCACTGTCGATGGTAATTGAAACATCAGTTCTCCAAAAGTCATTTTTATTTCTAGTCTGACGCGACATTTGAACGCGTTTTGTAATAACTTATTACATTTTCAAAGACTTTAGTTTACACACACACATAACTATAACTTGCAAACACTAAACAGATTTCTTACTATGCTATAATTTAAACGGCTTTTCATTTTATATACCTGCATTTGGGTGAGGTGATATGTTACAACAGTTTTCGATGAGGTGAAAACAAACTTTCAACACAAGATAGAACACGAAATATTGGGTAATATTGAGTAAAGTTAAAGGGGAAGAATGGAAGTAAATGCAAAGGGCCTATTGGCCCATATTTCTTGATGTTTCTATATTGGTGCGGAGTCTTGAAGTGGGAAAAATATAGTTGTGCATTAATTGGCTGTTGATTACTGGTGTTGACTTCTTAATGTGTAGTGCCTCGCAGATACCAAATCCCGACTCCACCTGCCAAAGATTATTGGGGAATGCAAACCTGGATACGCGTATGGAAATGTCAAGACGCACAAGCCTGGAAACCCACTTCGGCCAATCATTGGCCAGATACCCACACCCACGTACAGACTGGCGAAGCGACTCAACGGCCTGCTGACTCCTAATGTTCCTTGCGCCTTCAGCCTGAAGTCTCCAAAGGAATTTGTTGACTTACTGCGGGGCACACGGGCCACAGGGATAAGAGCCTCGTTGGACGTAGAATCGCTGTTTACCAACGTACCTGTGGACGAGACAATCGGAATGATAGCCGACAGAGTGTATCGTGATCCAGCCTGTACTCCTCTTGACATACCAGAAAATATTCTGAGGAAACTACTCCAAGCTTGTACTAAAGAGGCACCCTTCTTGAGCCCGGATGGGCACATGTATAAGCAAGTAGATTGGGTCGCCATGGGTTCTCCCCTAGGTGTCCTGTTTGCAAACTTTTATATGGGTACCATCGAGCAAAAAGTCTTAGTCGACATGAACTTGAAACCGGCCATATACTGCAGGTATGTTGACGACATTTTTACACAGGTACCTGATGTCAGACATCTGCAGGAGCTGAAGGAGGCATTTGAGCAGAGTTCCGTGCTGCGTTTCACTTACGAGATGGAAAAGGATGGGAAGCTGCCCTTTCTAGATGTAACAGTCATGGAAAAGGGCGGAGGTTTCCACACTGCAGTCTACACTAAGGAAACATAGGAATGTGCCTAAATGCCAACAGCGACTGCCCTGACAGGTACAAGAGGAGTGTTGTTAACGCATATGTCGACCGTGCTCTCAGCCACAGCTCAGAATGGAAGCAAGTCGACGAAGAACTCTGTAGGGTAAGGCAGGTCCTAGTCAATAACGGCTTCTCCAATGGTTTCGTCGAAGACATCATAAGAAGGAAAGTGAAAAGCCATGTAACCTCTGAAGAGACAACTAACACAACACCTATACCCCCTATTAGACTATTTTACAGGAACTTCTTTTCCACAGCTCATAAAACGGAGGAAAGGGTCCTGAAAGATATTGTTAATAGAAACGTTATCCCTACAGACAAAAATCAGAGGATACAACTGACGATTTACTATAAAATCAGAAAAACGGCCAGCCTACTCATGAGAAACTCTCCAGACACAAAACAGAACGCTTTAAAAGAGACTAACGTTGTCTATGCCTTCAAATGCCCACTTGGGGACTGTAAGCTCCAAAAAAACCAGTATATAGGCAAGACAACAACATCTCTTTCTAGGCGTTTAACGATGCATAAGCAACATTAAGGAACATATAATCTCTTCCCACAACCAAACCATCGCCAGAGAAATCCTAGTAAACAACACAGAAATCATCGATAGATACAGCGATAGCAGGCGGCTTGACGTTTGCGAGGCACTACACATCAAGAAGTCAACACCAGCAATCAACAGCCAATTATTGCACAACTATATTCTACCCACCTCAAGACTCCGCTCCAATATAGAAGCATCAAGAAATATGGACCAATAGGCTTTCTACAAACACTTCTATTCAATACCCATTGTTTGTGTTCTGTCTTGTGTTGATACTTTTAATACCCTATTAATATCCCCTCTTGTTCTGTCTTGTGTTAATGCCACATCACCCCTCCCACCTCACTCAAATGTAGATATAAAATCGGAGATACGTAAATTCTATTCAGTTGTGTATTTGTGAACTAAAGTCTTTGAAAATGTAATAAGTTTTACGAAACGCGCCCGTGTCGCGTCAGACTAGAAATAAAAATGAATTTTGGAGAATTAATTTTTGATTTACCTCCAACAGTGAAGCGTAATGTACGAAAGATTGAGAAAATTCGTGTTAGAATTATTAATCTTACTTTTTCGGTCATATTTAATTATATATGTCTACAGGAAAGACTGCTACCAAAATATACTAATATATATATATATATATATATATATATATATATATATATATATATATATATATATATATATATATCGTACCTAGTAGCCAGAACGCACTTCTCAGCCTACTATGCAAGGCCCAATTTGCCTAATAAGCCAAGTTTTCATGAATTAATTGTTTTTCGACTACCTAACCTACCTAACCTAACCTAACTTTTTCGGCTACCTAACCTAACCTAACCTATAAAGATAGGTTAGGTTAGGTTCGGTAGTGTTGGTTAGGTTCGGTCATATATCTACGTTAATTTTAACTCCAATAAAAAAAAATTGACCTCATACATAATGAAATGGGTAGCTTTATCATTTCATAAGAAAAAAATTAGGGAAAATATATTAATTCAGGAAAACTTGGCTTATTAGGCAAATCGGGCCTTGCATAGTTGGCCGAGAAATGCATTCTGGCTACTAGGTACGACATATATATATATTATATATATATATATATATATATATATATATATATATATATATATATATATATATATATATATATATATAACTGTTCTTCCTGGGGACTCTGCCCAGGAAGTCCCAGCAATGTTTCCATTTAACCCGATTAAGTTTCCCCTCGTTCCTGAAGGTTCGCCTAATTGGAAAGTTGTGAAGCAAACCCCAAGTGTGATATCCGGTCTCCCCCACAGGCACCTCCCCACGGACCTCGCTGCTGCTGCTGCCTCCGCTGACTGTGGTCACGCTGCTGCTGTGACGCCTACACGCACCTCCTGTCACCGCTGGAGACTACTGCCAGGCACTCAAGCTGCTGCTCTTGTGACGCGTTGTTACAGCTGCTGTAAGGCACTGCTGTCTTAACGCGATGGTACATCTGCTGTGACGCACCGACAGTGTTGTTGTGTCATGCTGACGCTGTGTCGGACCGACGCGGCCGATGTGACATAGGGGGTTGGTGCAGTGTAACAAGGAACTGTGGCAGTGTAACAAGGAACTGTGGCAGTGTAACAAGGAACTGTGGCAGTGTAACAAGGAACTGTGGCAGTGTAACAAGGAACTGTAACAGTGTAACAAGGAACTGTAACAGTGTAACAAGGAACTGTGGCAGTGTAACAAGGGGACTGTGTTTCACGCACAAGCCTGCCAACAGAAGTGTTGCGGCCACCAGAAGGTCCAGCAAGTTTGTGCTCTCTCACACAGTCCTGCCACTCACTTCATACACGTGTAACCCATACACATGCACCCCATACACGCGTAACCCATACACATGCACCCCATACACGTGTAACCCATACACGCGTAACCCATACACATGCACCCCATACACGTGTAACCCATACACGCGTAACCCATACACGCGTAACCCATACACGCGTAACCCATACACATGCACCCCATACACGTGTAACCCATACACGCGTAACCCATACACATGCACCCCATACACGTGTAACCCATACACGCGTAACCCATACACATGCACCCCATACACGTGCAACCCATACATGCGTAACCCATACACATGCACCCCATACACGTGTAACCCATACACGTGTAACCCATACACATGCACCCCATACACGTGTAACCCATACACGCGTAACCCATACACATGCACCCCATACACGTGTAACCCATACACGCGTAACCCATACACGGGTACCCTATACACGCGTAACCCATACACGCGTAACCCATACACACATAACCCATACACATGTAACTCATACACATATAACTCGAGACACTGCAATGTTGCAACAGTGAAGTATGTGGCATATTCCCTCCCCATCGACCATGCAAAAAATCAAGTTCATTACTTAGGATCTTGACTTCTCTGTTGCAAAAGCAGTATTTCAGCTCTTACTGAAAATTTTTACCTATTTTTCAGCGGTGTTTCGTTACTGTTCTTGCAAAATGAGCGTTTGCGCTCCCCCTCATCCCTGTCGCCTTCCTCGGCTGCTTCTCATTCCCATGTTTAAGGAGTACATTAACTCCGTTATTGTCTTAATATACAGCCCTCGGAAGCACAAAACACACACTGTATGCAGGCGATGAGTCACACTAACGTGGTTAAAGTATGTTGACCAGACCACACACTAGAAGGTGAAGGGACGACGACGTTTCGGTCCATCCTGAACCATTCTCAACTTGAGAATGGTCTCAAGGACAATTCTCACAACCGACTTCATAATGGTTCAGGACGAAGCGAAACATCGTCGTCTCCTCATCTTCTGATGAGTGATTTGGTCATCATATCTTCAGCCCCGTTATTGTGACTGGTTGTCTGCCCGTGACCCGATGTTCACGAGGTGGTATCAATCTCAATTGGCGTCTGTAGCTGAGGGTAAGGAGAAATCTGGTCAAGCTGACTGTAGCTGCTCGCACTGAACCAAATGTTCTGTGTTCAGAATTCCTTCTGTCCTAAAGGATCAGTTTTCTACGAAATTTCTTATTTGCAATTTCTGTATCATATTTTTTTATGGCCGGAATAACTGCTTATGACTATTCAATCTATTTCAACAGGGAAATCATTATAAAAAATATATAATAAACATATTGCTTTTTGAAAGCAATAAATTGTTAATTATGATAAATTACATAACATTAACAACATGTTAACATGGACAGAATGCCTGCTTCGAGGTGTTATTCTGACCGCCAGTGAACACTAAATTTACCATACACAACACTAAATCTACCATATACAACACTAAATCTACCATATACAACACTAAATCTACCACATACAACACTAAACCTACCATATACAACACTAAATCTACCACATACAACGCTAAATCTACCACATACAACACTAAATCTACCATATACAACACTAAATCTACCATATACAACATTAAAAGGCTGGTCGAGTGTTGGTGGAAATAAAACATAGGCTTCTATAATACATGATAAAATAGGCTTGTATAATACAACCCATCCTCCTGTTTAGATAGTAGGTTTTTGTAAATATGTTGTTGTTCTTCAGCTATATCTTGCTCTAGTTAGGCCCCATCTAGATTATGCAGTTCAGGGTCTAAAATCAAAGAAAAAACTAAATTTTCATACTGGAAAACACTTATGGCTCCAGACTTGTGAGACACACTGTATATTAATGTAGAAATACAAAAAATATTTTCTTTCGAATACCAGTTAGACTCAAAAACCTTTTCGAAATTTGCCGCTCCTTAAAATGTATTTATGTATATATGTGTATGTATATATATATATATGTGTGTGTAAACAAAATCACAAAACACACGGGATACTTTCATGCGAAAATCCAGGTGCAATATAGTCGTAATGGCTTGGCGCTTTCTCCTGATAGTTCCCTTCCCTTCATGCGAAAATAATTACTCTGAAAAATGATAAAAACAAACAAGACGGAGCGTCGTGTGCGAACTCCACACTGTAAAGGAATTCCTGTAATAATGTATTCTGCGTTACTGTTCAAGTAAACGAAACCAATCACTCTCTTGTTTATCTTTTCCATATGGATATACTTTCCTTATAATATATGTGTGTGTGTGTGTGTGTGTGTGTGTGTGTGTTTATATAAATAATTGAGAATTGTTTATTGAGATCAACACAGAGTTCATTCAAACCGCTCCATGAACACTGAGTTACAGCAGCACAACTAAGATCCTGGACGGCTCAGTTTAGAAGTATCCAATATAATTTAGTAAATAAGTCTAGATAATATATAATAACTTAAGTAAACAATAGTAGCACCGTGCCACGTACATTTTTATCTCTGAATGGAAGTTTTAGAGCATAACATAATAAAATATGTCTTACACCTAATGCTCTGAACTTATCAATTTATCCAGGCGCTAGAATAAGCTTTTTACCGTGTTGCTGGAGGATCAATTCAGCGAGACGACGGGATAACGAATTTAGTGAGACGCTCTGATAACCAATGTTTCAGAGTGACAAATCGAGGTCTCTCGACAATAGCTTATCTATCATAAGAACAAATAATTGAACTCTAGTGATACTTGCTCCTTAAGATCCCTGCGCATGTTGGAAGGCAATGCTGGATCATACCAATAAGTTCAAGTAAGTTTATTGAGGTAATGAAATACATCTCAAAATGATAGATGTAGATCTTAGGCTATGTCTACACTGTCAGTAGCCTCGCAGAAGTCCGCCACAACGCATGTCGGAAAATCCGACACCATTTAATAATATCATACAGACAGATAATATTGCTGTGTTGTATAAACAAGTTAACCCATAGAAAATGTAACTTGTAGTGGAATTTCCGTCTATAGAAAACGGGATATCATTACCACATACTATTATAAATTCACCACCTATTATGGTGGGAATTATTCTTAAATACATTAGTCTTTGGACTTTACCATCATAAAAACATCTCATATAAATTAACTTAATTATCAGAATTAAAATAGAGTAAATGTGACCCTTCTATCACTTACTGTCATCTGGACAATGTAGACCAGTAGCGTCAGGGAAGAGGGAGTGGTCAGCCATTGTTATTGTACTTAGACCAGAGGCATGGGAGCAATTCAGCTCCTGTTAATTTTACTTGGACGAAGTGTTATGGAAACCAAAGGTGTACCATCATCAACACGCTGTCAACAAATACAAGTTAAGTGTTCTGCCGAAACCCATTTATCTATCATTTGTGGCCATTAATGTCATTAGATAGGGTGAGCCGGTTAGAATACGAGATCGCCTCATACTAAAGGTAATTAAGCCTAGGTCTTTATGGTTCCTTGTACAGTGCTTTCTCTGATATAGCTGTCATATATTAGGATTCTGGCTTTACAGCTAGCGCCCTTTTGACAGGTCAAGACGAGGAAGCATGCTTTGTGTACCAGTTACTGGGTGATGGAAGCTACCTCAAAGAGGATAATTTGGTATCTACATCCTGGTTATACCTGGTGGACTAAGGCCTGCTGTACAATAAGATAAGGAACCTCTTCAATGTACTAATGTGTAGTTAATACTGTAGTTTGATTGGCTGCATATATATATATTTAATATAAACCCCCTAATGTGTAGAGGATCGATTTGTGAGATTATTGCAGAAATACAGTCCACTTAACATCATGCAAATTGCTATCGAAGTATACAAATTAACGTAAATATAAATTCTATATAAATTCATATAAATTAAATAAATATAAATCTCACAGGTTGGTTCCCACAACGCATTAAATGTTGAATATTTGAAGTCACGAAAGTGCTTATAACGCACATAGAAAAGCATTCATGTGGAAGTGTATGTGAATGTAAATACAGATATAAACAAACACAAAGTGAATGGTCCCATAAACTATTCACATGACCAGGTGTCTTCCTTCCAATATACGATGTAAGGTGATGTAATGTTGAAAATATAACATATCCATGGCTGAAGTCTTTTTTGTGTCTTTATCTTCCCCATTGATTTGAACAGAACAAATCCACAAGGGACGTGACGAGGTTCCGAACCTGCGTCCGGGAGCATCCCAGACGGGCACCACCTCTGGTTGTTTGTAGGGACCCATAAGCCACGAAGACGACGATATGCAGCACCCTGGAGAGGTTTGTTGGGCTCTCTAGTGCACTGGCACATATCGTCTTCTACCACCCACCCACCCCTCCTTATATATTTATATATATATATATAGGGAAATTTATTGTACAAGATTATCTGATTACAAAATGTGGCCTTAACACATACACAACACAACCAATACAAGTAAAATGAAAAACACGCCAATGGTAAACACTGATAAATGTCACGGACAGATTCGATCATTGTTGCAAGTCAAACACTTCTTCGAATTCCTCCGAAGTTGAACTCGTGCCCAAGATGCAACAGACATTTCCTCTCTGAATCGCAACACAGAGGCTCTGGAACAAAAAAATTTTCGCTCTCTCGTCTTTCGTAGCGCCGATCAATTTGTCCCCTAATTCCTTCAGGAACTTCAATGCACATTTTCCCCACGAACCGAGGGTCTCCGAACCGATCGGAACAAAGCTGTAGCAGTGTGCCAGACCTCTGTATTTAATAGTTTTCTGCGATTCCCTGAAAGAAGCAGCGCTGCCCCCTTCGCATGCACTGTGGGAGAGGTAGGTACTGGCCAGTGTGGCAGTGCATGTGTAGTCCCAGACCACTTGCTTACCATCCTTCTAAGGAAGGTGACCCCGTCTGGGTGCTTCAGAGGTTCGTTGTGTCTGAATAAGTGTGGTTCTCTTTGTGGTAGGCAGCGGGCTGTGGCGAGGCTCCTCTTGATGATGTCGTTGACTTCATGTCTTGCAATCTTATTCTATGATTTACGACATCCCAGACCATGACGACCATATTAGTCTGTCATTGCAATTCTGCAGATGCGCCTATGTTCGGTGAGGATGGGGGCGAGAAGGCGAAGGGCAACTCCAATGCGGAGAGCGTCATGATTGAGGCGAGTTTTCAGGGCTCCATTGGGCACAGCAAATAAAAAATCCCCAGCATGGGGGAGCTGTTACTGTTAGGAGGCGGGCTTTGTTTTCAGCATCTGCGTTTTCAAGCATTGTTGTGGCAGTCTTTTCCATTATGGGACTATTCTAGTGGGCCTGGGATAGACCACTGGCATGGGTCGGGGTAGAGGGTGTGAAATGGTTTCCAATTGACTGGCTGCTTCGATGAACTTTTGATTGTGAGTTCCCGCTGTGTTTCTCATATGCTCCAGTAGGATCTGCCATACTAATTCGTTGGCTGCTGTACATGAGGATACGAATGCTGGAAGTGTTACCTCAGTTGCCTTTCGTATGCCAATTCCCCCAAATCTCACTGGTAATGTTGTTTGGTCCCACTGACTCATCTAAATCTAGGTTGAGTGACTTCCTGAATATTGACTTGAGGAGCTCATCATATCGACTGAGTTCTGGGTTGCCAAAAGTGGGTGCACACCTTAAAAAGTACGTTATCCTGGGTAATTTAAGGCACTTTGTGAGAAGGTAGAGGGCATCATGGGCGTCCAAGTCTCCTATTCTCTCTTCCATCCTCTTTAGGTCGTTAAACTTTTCGTCAAGGACTGCAGCAATGGCATCGTGGCCCAGAGGTGCTTCAAGTAGTGTGCTATTGGTGGGTTTAATGAGTGAGGCTTCTGGTAAAACTGATTTCACTGCATTAATGACTATCTCACTGAATGAAATAATTTCGCACTTGAAGGGGTTAAGGACGAGACCCATGGCCTCCCCCCGTGTCTTCACCAGCTGCAGGTCTTCCAGCAGGGAGTCTTGCGTGCCTGCCAGAGTGCCATCATCCAGGAACCAGATGTTGAGCTCACTGGACAGTCTGGTTGAAATTTCTCGAACCGCTATGCAAAAGAGGAAGGGTGCAAGTGGGTCTCCCTGTTGAATTCCTTCTGCTGAGGTGACTTCGTGATCACCAAACAGGAGGGTTGAGTCTATGCTGTAGCCTGCTGACACAAACGGGAGAATGCTTGGGCAATGTTCCTGGACTGCAGTGAGGACTACTTCCCTTTTGACCGAGTTGAAAGCGTTTTTAAAATCTAATTTTACTACTGCCTGGTCTTCAGTAAGAAAACTAATGTAGGCTCGTGCAGCATGGGCCGCTGCTTCACAGCCTTGGGGGACTCCAAACCCCAGCTGGTTGGGTTACAGCATGGTGGCTGCTTCCATTCGGATACTTCTGACAGCAGCCCTTGCAACTAGGCGGCGAATGGTATTACCAACGCCAATGGATCTGATCCCTCCCCCCTTCTTTTTCAGGGCACATAGGGATGCACTAAGGAAGTATGGTTTGATTTCATCAGGTATTAACCCGGCGAGGCAGTTGTTGACAAACGTTGTGATTACTGTCAGGAGCGCTTCTGCAGCTGGGCCAAGAACAGGGTTCACCATTTCCTTGACATATTGAGATCTTACCCCTGTGTAGCCTCTTGAGGAGCCTGGGGGAAATGAAACGATAGCGTTATAAACCTCTGATTCTCGGAGGACGAGAGGTTCCTGGTTAGGGGGGGGACCCTGACCTGCGGGGAAGGTCCCCCTACGGCCCTGAGGGGGTGTTTTTCTCTCAGTGCTTGGGCTGTGGTTTCATCCCTGGGTAAAATTTTGTCCTCACTTGTAATCAACCTGAGTGCCCCGATTGTATTGCCCTCTTCAATTCTCTTGCTGACTTTCGTACCTATTTCCTGTTGTCGCTGACGGTCTTACTTGGTCTGCCGCGTCGGTGTTTGGTGTGTTTGGGGAGGCGGATTAGGTTGTTAGCCATAAGGAAAATCCCTAATTGCTTTATTCACGGATGAGGAGAGTGTCTTGCCTCTTCTGTCTGGTACATCTAAGCATGCGTTGCTAAAATGTAGCAAATTGTGCCAGGCTTTGATGGTATTCGGTTCATCAAGGGAATTTGACTCTGACTTTTTTGATGAGGTCCCTGTATTTCCCAACAGCAGAAGGGCGAGGTGCCTTTGGGATGTGGGTGAATGTCCTGGTTGACGTTGCTTTAATTG